GGGGCATAGGAGCAGGTAGAGGGGGGCTCTGGGGGGGTCTCAGGGGTGTAGGAAGTGGGTCTAAGGGGTTCTCAGGGGTAAATTTAAGGGGATTATTGGGTGGTTTGCGGGTCTCCCGGGGGGGCAGGTTTAGGGGGTGCCTTAGATGTGTAGGGGCTGTTTTATGGGGACAGGCAGGGAGCTTGTGTTTGCTCAGGGGCCTGAGGAGCAGGTTTGGGTGAGCTGTTAGGGGGCTTTAGGGGGGTCTCGGGGGTGTAGGGGCAGGTTTAGGAGGACTATAGAGAGGCTTGACGGGATCTCAGGGGTGTAGGGGCAGTTTAGGGGAGCTGTAGGGGGCTGATCCCGGCACTAGGGTCCCACAGGGTCATGGGGTCACAGCCTTTGACCTCCATGGGGGAGGCTGAGGCCTGAGGGGGGTGGGAGCCCCCCATTTTGGGTGGCTCACTGACGGGCGGGGGCTGTCACGTGCTGTTTACCCTGACCTGGGGTCACCTGGGGACAGGGGGGATTGCAGGGGGGCTCCTCATCCCCCTCTTCCTCCCTCTCTCCCCCCAGCCCCAACCTTTGCCCCCACCCCTGACCTTTGACCCTCCCAAGGTGCTGCCTGTACTTCGGGAGGGCTGGGGAGGGGTTTGGGGGGGCTCTTCCTCCCCCCCGCCCCCCCCGTGACGCCGCCCCGGGTTATTTTTAGGGCTCTCCTTGGCCAGGAGTGAGGGAGGGACACGGATCCGGCCCCCCCCTTCCTCCCCGTGGGTCCGGCCGGGACGTCACCGGTGGGTGGGGGTGGGTGGGGGTCCCCCACACCTCGTGGGGGGGTTCTGGGGGGAGTGTGACGTCCCTCTGTCGCGACAGGGTGACGCCGTGACGGGCATGGCGGGCGCCTCGGTGAAGGTGGCGGTCAGAGTCCGGCCCTTCAGCGCCCGCGAGAGCAGCCGCCAGGCCAAGTGCGTCATCCAGATGCGAGGAAACACCACGTGTGAGTGGGGCTCGCGTGGGAGGGGGTCCCCGGTGGGAGGGGGGACACCCCCACGGGGCAGGGGGGACCCCCCTCCGGTCCCCGTCCTTGTCCCATGCTGGCTCCTGGCCTGGAGGACCAGCTGCCGCCAGGCTAAAAATAGCAACTGAGAGGGCTCTGGGGGGGGGTGATGGTGATGGGGGGGTCAGGGGGACACGGGGGGGTGACAGCGATGTCGGGGTGGTCCCCCCAACCTGCTTCCACCTGCCAACCCCAGGCATCACCAACCCCAAGCTCCCTAAAGACGGCACCAAACACTTCACCTTCGACTACTCCTACTGGTCCCACACCTCGGTGAGTGCCAGGGGGGGCGTGGCGGGGCTCGGGGGGTTTTGGGGTGTCCCTAACTCACCCCCCCCGCAGGAGGAGGACCCCAACTTCGCCTCACAGCGCCGGGTGTACCAAGACATCGGGGAGGAGATGCTGGCACACGCCTTCGAGGGCTACAACGTTTGCATCCTGGCCTACGGCCAGACCGGCGCCGGCAAGTCCTACACCATGATGGGGCGGCAGGAACCTGGGCAGCGCGGCATCATCCCGCAGGTCTGGGGGTCCGGGGGGTTCCCGGGGGGCTCTGGGGGGTGCTGGACCCCACACACCCCCCGGCTCAGCACCACTCACCCACAGCTCTGCGAGGATCTGTTCACCCGCGTCGCACGGGAGGGGTCCCCCGAGCTCTCCTTCTCCGTGGAGGTGAGGGGGCTTTGGGGGTTCAGGAGGGGTCCCCCGAGCTCTCCTTCTCCGT